GGGGGGGACGGGGGGGACTGTCGCTGGTGTTCCCCCAGAGGGCTCAGGTGCTAGTCATAGGAAGAAAGTCTTCCCAGAAGGGGAACAGCTGTCCCTGTCTTCTTCCCCAGCTCCTCTTCCTTGAAGCCCGGTGCCCCAGGACCATGAGGGCTGCCATCCTACCCACCTGGTCTGTCTGCAGGCCCTGCAGTGTAGCCTCCTGCCTAGGCCCCTCCTTCCCTTCCTGCTGCCCCTCGCCCAGGCCAACCCAGGACGCCCCAGGTCACTGGAGGGGGCATGGGACTCGGCCTGGCTTGGAAGACAGTCCAGTCTGCCAAGAGGCCTTCCTTTACCACCATGAGGAAATAAGAGATTTTATTTTACTCGATGTGTTTTTTTTTTTTTTTTTTTGTTGTTGTTGTTGGTGGACTGCATTTTTTTTTTTTATTTGTTTATTTTTATGTGGTGCGAAGGATTGAACCCAGTGCCTCGTGCATGCTAGGCAAGCGCTCCGCCACTGAGCTACAGCCCCAGCCCTAGGAGATTTTATTTTGAACAACTTCAAACTTATAAAGAAGATGCCAAATTGAATCCAGAGACCTCAAGACTTTGTGGTCCAGTAGACCTGCCGGGGCCTCATATCCTGCCACCCTCCTGTTCGTTATCAGAACATGGTGCACGGAGGGTACAGCTGGTCACCTCCTGCTACATACATGGTTGAATGATTGTCACCTCTTGCAGTCTTCAGTTGCTTCATGGCACACAGTGGCCAAGCCTGCCTGGGAGCTGGGAGCCGGGAACTGGGTGGGCTCTGCACAGGACTGAGCTCATCTGCCTCCTTACCTCCTCCGGTTCCTGCTCCGGCCAAACCCTGTGGCGCTGTGTCCTCTCCTGGGCCCCCAGCCTTTCTTGCTCCAATGTCCTCTGCTGGGCAGGCCTGGAAGCTTCCTTGGGAAACCGCTGGGGGCTCCTTGCTGCTGGCTGGGATCCTCCTGTCACACCTCTGGGTCCCCGTGCCCAGCAGAGCGGCCCGCAGCAGGTGGTTAGTTGTCAGGTCTGCCTGGCCTGGCTGCCTTCCTGGGACCCTGTGGTCCCAAGGAGACCTGGGTACTGTGTGCATCCCTTCCTCCGTGTGGGTCCAGCTGCAGTCCTGGTGGTCGGCGGCACTGGCCCAGTATTTATCTGGCCTGCTCCTACTGCAGGGCATTGGGCATTCCCACTCTGTCATCATGCCCGGAACTGGCCTCTGCAGGGAGTGAGGGAAGGTGTGTGAGGACAGCTCCGTACTTGCCCAATGCCTCCAGAGATGTACCAGCCCCAATGCTTCCCCTGCTTGTGGCCACGTCCCCCAAACTCAGGGGGTCTCTGAGCTCAAAGCTGCCTGTGGGACCTCTCCAGAGCCAGACCCTCTGCTCCTGCCCTGCAGGCCTGAATGCCAGGTGTGGACGGGGACACTGCTCTTGGGCACCTGCCTACTCTACTGCGCCCGTGTCACCATGCCTGTCTGCACCGTTGCCATGAGCCAGGACTTTGGCTGGAATAAGAAGGAGGCCGGCATTGTGCTTAGCAGTTTCTTCTGGGGCTACTGCCTGACGCAGGTCGTGGGTGGCCACCTCGGGGACCGGTAACTGTCTTCCCTACTCCTCGTCACTCAGGCTGAAGGGGGCTGCTCCATGTGGGCTTCTCAAGGGGAGGTGGGCTAGCAGATCTTCTGTGTACATGGGGAGGAAGGGCTCCTGGGCTAGGGCCTGGCAAAAAAAATGGGGGGAGAGGCCCTGCCCAGAGGCCCTGTCCAGCATTCCAAGGAGCAGCTCTGGGGCTGGGCATGGCTGTAGGGCTGCTCTTAGCTCTGGGCGCCTCCTGCTGGCGGGTTCATGGCAGCGTGCTCATGGCAGCGCCCACTCCAGAGGACTCCTCTGCACAGAGGTGGTGTGCTCAGCCTGCCTGCATGGCCACCCCGTCCTCCCCTCTTTGTGTCCACTCCAGCATCGGAGGTGAGAAGGTCATCCTGCTGTCTGCTTCCACCTGGGGCTCCATCACCATGGCCACCCCGCTGCTCGCCCACCTTGGCAGTGCCCACCTGGTCTCCATGGTCTTCTCCCGTGTCCTCATAGGCCTGCTCCAAGGTAGGGGTGCCTCTGGACACTTCCCTCCTGCTGCTGGCCTTCACCTCTGTCACCAGGCGGGTGGACAGGAGGGCCCATGTGTGCCTGCCTTCTGTCCTCTGCTGAAAGTCCTTTCGGCGGCCTCACATTGTCTGTGTGTATTGTCCATGGCGGAGTGGAAAGGCTAGCAGCTCCTGACCCTGAGGCTCCCTGCCTCCGGGCCTCAAGCTCTGGAGAGGCCCCGCCCTGGGCCAGTGGCTGACAGAGGAATGGGACCTGGCTCCTGGGCAATGTTGAAAAGTTGGGAGGGACGCAGGTGATGACTCCTGGGTGCCACCCTCGTGGACAATGATGACGCAGAGGGCAGACTCTGCGCCTCCAGGCCAGGCCTAGGACCCTCTAGAAGCAGGGGTGTGGGTTGTGAGGTGGCGTCCAAACTTCCAGGCCACTGAGGAGCCTGTGTCTAAAGGAATCCTAGGGGGAAATTCCGCTGTGGAGCTGTGGGGAGAGTGCGTCTGGGAAAGGCCTTGTGTGTGAGGAGGAGCAGGTGAGGCTGGCGTGCTGAGAGCGGGTGTGTGCAGCTTGTCTGAGGTGGAGCGTGTGTGTGTCAGCAGGGGACCTGAGGGGCGGCCTGGGCTGCTGTCCTGGGACAATGCCTTGGAAGCAGAGGCTTGTCCTGCAGATAGCCTCTCCCACACTGAGTCCTTTCCTCAGCCTGTTGGCTCCTGGGTTGGGACAAGTCAGGGAGGACAATGCACATCCTCTGGCCTGGCTGCCCCTGCTGGCTCACTGGCCCTCACCAGAGGCCCTGCTGACCACATCCTCTGCTTATTCCAGGTGTGTACTTCCCTGCCCTGACCAGCCTGCTGTCACAGAGAGTTCGAGAGAGCGAGAGAGCCTTCACCTACAGCACTGTGGGGGCCGGCTCCCAGTTTGGGTAGGGCCTAGCTCCAACAGGGGCTCCGTGATGGGGGGCGGGCTGGGGGGCCTTGAAGGCTGTGCTGCCTGGAGGTGGCTCCGTGGCACTGGCTGCAGCTCCCCAGGCCTGTGCGGGCATCTCTGTGGCTCACAGTGATGTGGGCTGTGGCCCTGGCCGTGGGCTGGGCCTGTGGCTGTGGGCGGGGCAGGTCCCTGTCCTGGGTGCCGTGGAGCCAGGGGTGTCCTGCCCTTTGTTGCCAGTCCCCCGGTGAGTCCGTGGGCGTGGGCGCAGCCCCTGAGACCGGGGCCCTCAGATGTTCCTCCCTCGCCCACCGTCAGGCAGCTCCAGAGCCTTGTCCCGGAGAAGGGCTACTCGATGAGCGTGGACAGAGGCTTGTGGGTATGGGGCTCAGGCCCTCAGCCGCTGAATTCGGGGACAGGAATCGGAGAGCAGGGGTCCTGTGCAGGGACAGAGAACCCAGTGAGGTCCAAGTGTCAGATAAGCCCCTGGCTGGCCTGCACTTGGAAGTTACCTGGAGGGGCTTTGGTGGCTTCTGGGGCAGTGTTGGGTGGAGCAGAGGGCTCTGTGTGAAACCGCGGGGGCAGGGGAGTGCTGTGGTCCCCAGGTGAGGTGCTGCCCCCTCTGCAGGCACAGATGGGGAGGTGGTGGGCTCAGGGAGGAGGCAGCTGGGCCTCAGGCCAGAGACCCCACATGCAGCAGGAACCGTCCCTGATGCTGCCTCGGTGGGGAGTGCTTCAGGGCACAGGGGTGGGCAAGGGAGGCCTGGGCTTGCCTGGGACCACAGGACCCTCAGGAGGAGGAGGCGGGGTCTGTCATTAGAGCTCCTCCCAAACCGTGTGCTCTGCTGTGTGATGAAGAAAGAGCAGGGCACAGGCTTCGCTCCAGCTGCCCCGAGCCCACTCTCCTCCCACGGCCCTTTTTAGTGTAGGCCAGTTGGAAGGCCTAGAAGCAAGAAGTTAAAACAGCTCAGGTCCCACAGCAGTTGTCTCTGTGCCCTGTCCCCGTGGCTGGTTCCCAGCGTCCCGCCCTGTAGCATAGTCTCTTCCATCACTTGGCACCCTGAGCCAGAATACTCTGGGACTGGGCTCCAAACACCTGTTCTCCAGGTGACAAAACCCACTCTTCTAGGGGCTCAGCCGGCATCAGGAATGTTCTCTGGTGTCTGTCTGTGGAGCCCAGCCGAGGTCATGGCCATGCTCCTCCCTGTCCCCCCAGGACGCTGGTGACTGGGGTCGTGGGATCCCTGCTCCTGGACTGGTGCGGCTGGCAGAGCGTCTTCTACTTCTCTGGTGGCCTCACCTTGCTTTGGGTGTGTTACGTGTACAGGTACCTGCTGAACGAGAAAGGTACCGTGGCCACATGGGTGGGTGCCAGTGCCTCCTCCGCTCACAGCTGCTGGGGGGGGGGCATGCAGACTCCTCTAGCCTGGAGCCTGAGAAAGAATGAGTTCTCAGCCCCCTAGGGCCACCAGTTCAGTCGCCAAGCTCCATTTAGGGTAGGGCAGAGGAGGAGCCCTGCAGGCCACGGCAGGGGGCTGGAGCAGGCAGCTTCAGCTGGCCCCAGGGCTCTGGCTGCACACTGAGCTGCTGAGGCAGAGCCTCCTGGGGGAGGGTGGCGAGGTCTGTGGCCTCTGGGACCACACCGGCGCTGCCTCTAGGGATGATGTGGGGTTGCCCAGTCCTGGGGGCCACTGCTGTGCAACCACTTCTTCCCTCAGACCTCATCCTGGCCCTGGGGGTCCTGGCACAAGGCCTGCCCGTGGCCAGGCCCTCCAGAGTGCCCTGGAGACAGCTCTTCCGGAAGCCTTCTGTCTGGTGAGCTGGGGCTGGCGTGGCCAGGCAGAGAGTGGGGCAACAGCCCTCGTGGTGTGGGCCAGGCTGTGCCTGGAAGGGCGCCCAGGGGCAGGGGCGCGGGTCTCACAGGCCCTGCCTGTGTGGGAAGGGGCTGGGGCAGGCTGGAGCCCTGAGCCTTTGTCCCACCCAGGGCGGCCGTCTGCTCCCAGCTCTCCTCAGCCTGCTCCTTCTTCATCCTCCTCTCCTGGCTGCCCACCTTCTTCAAAGAGACCTTCCCCCATTCCCAGGTGGGTCACCCTGCCAGTGCTCACACAGCTGCCGGCCCTGCCCCTGCACAGCGGGTGGGCCCCTTGGCTCTGGGTTTGAGGCAGAGGCTGACTTTGTCCACAGGAGGGGCAGGTGCTGGCTCCGAGACCCGGAGGGCCGGTCCCTGTGGCAGTGGCAGCTTTCCAAGCCCATGACCTTGATCTGCTGCTTAGCAGACCCCCCCCCACACACAGGGCAAGGCCATCTGTTGGTCTGTTGATGCCATTCTGGAGGGAAACCTGAGCAGGGCAGGATGGGGACCTGCGACCCCCTATATCCACTGGCTTCTCCACTGAGGCTGTTGACCACCTCCTGTTCTGGTGACCATGATGCCCCGGGCTGCCCATTCCAAGGGTAGGGGCTGGGTAGTAAGCAACCTGGGGACCTGGCTGCGTGGCGAGCCACTGTGGGCCTGGTGGGCATGCTGGTAGAAGCTGCCCTCCTTCAGGCCCCTCTGCTCTGGGGCCCAGGCTGTGGGGGTGAGCAGAGCTCTCCTGGGCAGCAGCGGCCTGGGGCAGCCTTGGCCTGGGGCAGCCATCCTGCCTGCCCCTCCTCCTTTCAATGTCTGGCTGCCACTTGGCCACCGCTAAGGCCAAGCTCCTCCCTGCAGGGCTGGGTCTTCAACGTGGTGCCCTGGTTGGTGGCGATTCCTGCCAGTCTGTTCAGTGGATTTCTCTCTGACCACCTCATCAGTCACGGTGAGTCCTGGGGAGGGACAGGCCTTCAGGAGACACACCCTCAGGGGCCTCAGCCAGGGTGAGAGGCTCCCCTCTGGGGGTGCAGCTGCAGTGCTAGGGAGAGGCCAGGCCTGCTGAGGACCACCTGTGATAGAGAGGGACCCTGGCCTCAGAGCCAGCCAGGGAATGGGTGCAGCTGGGGGCTGAAGGAGCCTGGGGCAGCTGGGTTTTCCCCAGAACCCCCATGAAGGCTGCAGCTGGGGAGCAGCGGGAGGCCCAAGAGGGCCTTTGTGCAGAGCACCTGTGGGCTCTGCCCTGGGCCTGACACAGTCCTGACCCTGGGGGGGGAGGTGCAGGTGGGGTCAGAGGTCACAAGTTTTCCTCTTGCACCTTCCGGAGCTGAGGGTGGGGGCTCTGGGGCCAGCTGGAGTCCACCACACACCGGCCACACATGAAGCCGAGCAGCACGCTCATAGGTGCCCACGCACGTGCATGCTCACTCTCAGAACGTCAGTGTTTTCCCTCAGTACAAGGTGGTGCACACTGTGTGGGTGACTGAGGGGACAGGGAGAGCTTCGGGGACACCTTCACAGCTGCCCAGTGGCCCTCCTGGGCCTTGTGGGATCCTCTGGTGTGCACCTACTGTGCGGGCAATGACCAGCCTGCAGCCCCAAGGGCCACCCTGGCTGCCATCCCCCTCTGCACTGTCCTCTGGGTTGCCCAAGGCTAATGGGGCCGCCTGCCTGTCTCCTTGCTCAGGTTACGGGACCATCACGGTGCGTAAGTCGATGCAGGTAGGAAGACCTTTCTGGTGTTTTCCCTGGACATCACTGTTTAGTTCTCCTGGGACCTGAGGGTTATGACCCCCAATTGCCCGAATTCTGGGACCATGAAAACGTCCAGGTCGTGGGCTGGGCCAGCTGCAACTGCTGCAGGGAAGGCACTTAGGGCCCTTGGTGCCCACAAGAGTGTGGACAGAGGTGACGGGACCCAGAATCCGCTGGTTTAGATGGAGGGCACTCTGGGGTCAGTGTTGGGGACTGACCTGAGACTCTTCTCTGATCTCTGAATGGGGCTCTCTGTGCCTGTGGGGTCTGGGCATCTAGGTGAGGCTTGTGGCCTCTAGTCCACCAGTAGGCCAGCTGACCCATGGAGGGCCCCTTCCAGATGTTCTCTGGGTGGGGGGCCCAACCCCGGGGGGGTTTTGGGTCAGGCAGGCCAGGTTCAGGGCACTTGGGTGGCTGTGTGACCAGTTTTTGACCCTAAAGCCTGGGTCCTTTGTCCCTCCTGGGATTGTGGGGCCAACAGCACCAAGACAGAGCAAGGGGGGAGTGGTCAAGACTTTATTCTTGGCCAAGGTAGAGTGGGAATAAGCCCTCAGGTCACGTCGCACCCGGATTGAAGAGATGAGGGGCTCGGGAGGGCGGTTCCCACGTTTCCATCATCCAGAGGAGAGGAGGTCTGGGTCCCTCTGGCAACTCTGAGATCTGGCCAATCTCAGCCCCTTGTCGAGGGCCTCCTGGCCTTCAGGCTTCCTGCCTCAAAGGCCAGCAGGATTAGGGCAGGGTGGGAATTCAGCCGGGCCCCTGGGCCGTGCAGGAGCCCTGCTGGTGGCACAGGAGGCTGCGGGCTGTGCTGCCCCGATGCCCTCACCCACACCATCTGCAGGAACAGGGCTGGGTGGCACAGGACGGGCATGGGTGGGCTGTGCTGCCCCG